TTTAGGGCGAAATCCAACCTTTCAACAGGTTGGTAATCGATTACCAAACTATGGTAATCGATTACCCTTCATGGTAATCGATTACCCACTCAATGGTAATCGATTACCTACTGTACAGAGACAAAAATAACGGCTATAAAACGGCTAGTTTGCGAGAATGAGTAGGAAAAAGGCCATGGGGGCCCTCTATAAATAGAGACTACTGTTCCTATTGATGGGACACAATAATTGATCATCATTACTCATTAATTCTCATCCTATTTGCCTTATTCTTGTCTTCTTGATCATAAATCCTATTTGAGTCTTATTCTTGTAAGAGTGTCATATACCCTTGTTCTTCAACTTGTGTTATTTGTACTTTGAGAGTACTTAGCCATTATTAAACACCTTCATTGATTACTTGAGTAGCTAGGGGAGTGAACCCTACACACTTGAAAGGTCACCAAATTCCTAAGAAAATTTGGAGTAAAAAAGTGTAAGGCATCAAGAGCCCGAAGTCTTGAAAAGTTGTAGTGGTTTGTCAAGCACCCTTAAGCTTGATAATCAGTGAAAAGAATTGATCGAGCGGCTTCAGTCTGGACGTAGGTCACGGTGGTGGTGACCGAACCAGGATACATCTAGTTTGCAATCTCTCTAACCTTAATCTCTTTATTTGAGTATTAAAATTGCATCTTAGATTGTCTTTATATATTCACTTGCTTACTTTGTTGATCACTACACTTGCTTTTACTATCAGACATTTCTTTATTAAATCACTTTATTGAAGAAATAAACTGTAAAACATCAAAGGAGGTACTTTGCGAAAAGATTTTGTAAAACTCAATTCACCCCCCTCTTGAGTATTGAAGCCACATGTCTAACAGCGTCTAATAGGAATGGCTAGGATTGTTGTGGTTTGTGAATTGGTTGTGGTTATGTTGGTAGGGTTAGGTGTAGTGATGGTTGGAGAGGAAAAGGAAGACCTATTGGAATTGGTCCAGGGACGATATGGTTTTTGATCGTTTGCTTGATCTTCATATATTCTGGCTAAGGAATAGGCCTCATGGTAATCTTGGGGTCTTTGGGTGAGAATAGGGCGACGAATAAGTGGTTTCAATCCAGAGATAAAAATGTTGCGCAAAAGTGTGGCTGATAAACTAGAGACTTTGCTAACAAGTCTCTTAAAGGCTGATTGATAATCTACAACCGAACCTGATTATTGGAGTTGGAATAGGGATCCAGTCGGATCCTCAAATTCGGAAGGGCCAAAACGACACTGTAGAGCCGTGCAGAAGGTTCTCCAATCAGTCATTAATCCATTCTGATCTGACCCATAAAACCAACTATCTGCTGGGTCACTCAAATGAAATGCAGCTAAATTTACACGATCATTAGGAGGAACCTGATAAAAGGTAAAATACCTTTCAGTAGCAATGATCCACGTGGTTGGGTCTCCTGAAGCAAATCGGGGAAATTCCAATTTAATCTGATGAAATCTGTTGTTCTCAGATCCAGAGGAGGAGCTACCATGTGGTCCAGATCCTAAAATCCCTCGGTTATTGTGCGCACCACCTGATGATGATTCTTGTAACTCGATCAAACGTGTAAGATCGTAATGGAGTCGTTCTTGAGACGATTGCATGTGTTGTTGCAATTCCTGTAAGCTTAAGTGAGATTCTTGTAAACCGTGGTACTGTTGTTCTCTTGCTAATTCCGCCGCGCGGAATTGTTGCTCTAAAGTGTCAAGACGCTGCTGCATATCCCTCATTCTCGTGTTCTCTGCCATAGCAGGAAGGATGATGAGCAATGAAAGCACCAATTATAAGGGTTATTATTCAGATTCTAAATAAGTTAGCAAGGAGAGGGAAGAAGATAGGAAAAGAGGAGAGAGCAAGAGAAAAGAGGGAGAGATTGTCCAACATTTTCTTGAATATTCATCACGTCCCTCATGGGCTATATACTCCTTTCTGTTACAACGGTTTTTGAGTTCTTAAAAGGAAAAATAACAAACGATGAATTAAGAGAGTTTCTTTGTTTAAGGCAAGTGACTTATCAATAGTCTAATATGTAGTTGGGCCTTCGCTTGATGCATATGGGCCTGTCCTCCGTTAGCTGGGTCCTTTGGGCTGCAACAGTGTTGTTGGATTAATACAACCAAGCTCTGATCTAACATTAGCCTCTGTCATGCTCCATCGAATGTCACATGTTGTAAGAGCATAGGAATGATGACCAGCGTTCACTAAGGGTTGGTTCTTGCATTGCCTTCAATGATAAGATCAAGGTAATGTCTAGATTGATAGAAAGGTATGAAGTGGAAGGAAAATGAACCAAATATTATTAGTTATCATTATTTAAATAATTTTAAGAAGAATCAAATAGAATGGAACCTAAAGTATTAGTACACTGTACACCAATGGTGTGTTGGTGTGGGAGCGCAAAGGAAGGTGTTTAGTTGGAGTTAGAAGCGATGGTTTGAAAGGGAAATTGTAATTGACTCCATGTCCAAGTGCACGAGAGGATGGAATAAGAGCCTGAAATTGTTGTTGTCAGGTTATGAGACCAAGGGGCAAGGCCTGTATATGCATCTTCTATGGCTCAGTGCATTAATTTGCCATTGCCAACGATTAAAATCACATAAATATCACACTCTTTAGCATAACAAGAAAAATGACTAAAATATGGGAGAATTAGAATAGAGAAAATAAACTTTTTTTTTTTCAGTTAAAAATAATTATCATTCTGTTTGCTTAAATTGCTTATCATTCTGTTTCCTTAAATAAAAACTTCGTTTCGTTTCGTTTCGTCGTAAAATAGTTAAACAATAATATGATAATTTTATTTCGTTCTATTATACTACACGCACCATTAAATATTCAAGCATAACTTAACTATGCTGCCGATTCTAAATTCTTGGACAAATTTTGATATGCTTCTGTCTCTAATTCTTATTTGGAGCTCTAAATTCGTAGATTAAATATTTTTTTTTTATAAAAGAATTGAATAAAAAACTTTTATCCAAATCTTTCTTCATCCTTAAAATAATCATAACTATACACCACAAACTTTGCCTTATTTTAAGTAAGACAATGATTAATTGTGTGTATAGTAGTGGAGCCACTTTATAGTCAGCTGATGCCTTGGCACCAGCTACTTTTAAAAAATAATATAGATTTTCTTTAAATATTATGATATAGTCTTAGTACTAATTGAGTTTTTAAAAATAATACAATCTTAGCATTGATTAAATTTTACCTGATTGGATTTTTTGGTACTCACTAAGTTTTTCTTCTTTCTGTACCATTATATATATATAAGAATAGAGTTTTATAAGAGTTATGTTGTAGAAAAAGTGATTGTGTAATGTTATAGAGATTCGTTTTGCGTGCCGTAATTTTTTTTTCTTTTTTCTTCAAAAAGTGTGGGCCCTACAAAATGTTGTGTGTGTAGAAAAATTTGTTGTGTCATATTAAATGACAAATGCAAATCCCATACGAATAATAGAATCTATCTTAGCAACAGCTCTAGTTTTTTATATTAGTACTTATATAACTTTGGCTAGAGAGCCCAAGAGAGAACCTATCTACGAAGCACCGACACTTCAAAAATTCTAACGTGCCGTGTCCGACACTTCCCGACACTCGCCGACACTCCGACACTCCCCGACACTTCAACATGTGTTATAGAAATTCAAAAAAAGGTTCAAAGGTTTCGTTGTGTTGAGTTTTTAGTTCCAACTATTAGATTCATTGGATTACGATTACCATTTTATTGAGTTTAATATAAATATTTGGGATATCTTATGTTTCTTTTTAAAATTGATGAATATTATAAGTTTAGTTTTATTTTTTTTAAATTATTGAATATTAAATATAATATAAACTACATAAATTAAAAATATTATTTAATATCAAAACGTGTCCTAACGTGTCGAAATCTAAATTTTTTTAAAATTAACGTGTCGGAGTGTCGTGTCGTATCGTGTCACGTGTCCTGTGTCAGTATCCGTGCTACATAGGAACCTATGACAAAGAAGATACCAATAGAATAGAAAACGCTTGAAGACAAAGAAACTAATGGGAATGAGAGAAAGAGAATGAAAGGAAACGAAGAAGAGAATTGCACATGCTTATGGAAGTGCATGAGTATATGAGAATTCTTTCCGAGCTCTTTTGCACAAAAAGAGACTAATTTACTTGCATTGGAAGCATATGATTTGCTTTATTTCATTTTATACCCCTCTCATTAAAGAGAGAGCATCTATAAGGTAACTGGAATCTCGCTTTTCCTTTCTTTTTCCTTCAATTAACTGAAAATAACTTCAATATGATATATTTGAATTGACATTTTAAACTAATTCACTGGTATCATGAACAACTGTACAAACACAGATAGGACAATGACAAAATGTTAATTTTGTTTCATTTCTATGTAAGAAAAATACTTGAACTGAGGCAATGATTAAGTATTCAAAGTAACTAAATTGCAACATTTGGAATTACCTAAAATCAAAATATTCCCATTTCTTCCTTGTGTAATGGGCATTCATTTTTCTAGACGGGGATATTAAAGGGACAAATATTTGCATCCAACTCAAGTATATATACATCGCTGGTGTCATAATTGGCTAACTGTGCTGACCAATGTTCCTTAATTGACACAGTTGTACCACTTTTATTACACTGATTTAAAAAATAGTACATAACACAGGGAAGAAAAAATAGATAAAATTTCCTATAATTTTTTTATTGATCTGGGCAAGCAATAATGAGTAAACTTATTCTAGTAGTAGCAACTAGAAAAACAAGTAAAAGGAAGAGAGAATGAAGGAAAATATACAATACTAGTAGTAATAGCAGTAGTTTAACATATAAATGGAGCAAAAGAATTAACAAAGATGCTCCCACATGCTTCATGCTTCAAGCTTCCTTTTATTAAGCAAACACTCACAGCTAGCCTATAAATGGATGATTGCATGAGCAGTTCCCTTCATTAGCATCACTTTCTTCATCTCATCTTCTTCAATGGAGTGGCTTCTTCAATTCCTTTATCTCCTCTTTATAACTTCTCTTCTGATCTGTAGTACAGCAATTTCAGATCAAATTCCCAAGGTTTACACACACACTTTCCCTCTACCTTATTTTTTATTCTATATTGTTATGGCAGAGTCTTACAAGCTTCTCTTATTATCTGCAGCCTTATGTTGTTTATATGGGAAATTCTTCACCCAACAACATTGGGATAGATGGTCAATTATCAGAATCAACTAACCTGCAGCTATTATCATCAATCATTCCAAGGTTATACTCACCACCATCATTTTCATCTAGTTTACACCATTCACTTATATTTATAATTATATTCACCATTGAAATCAATTCAACTTATGGAATGAATATGTTCTTTTTTACTTTTCCATTTTCCCAGAAGAGAAAGTGAGAGGATAACTCTAATCCACCATTTCAGTCATGCCTTTAGTGGGTTCTCAGCCATGCTTACAGAGAGTGAAGCTTCTGCTCTGTCTGGTATTTGATCTTGTCTGCTAGCTCCTTTTTCTTTTTGTTTGTTCCAAATTCTTAACTTCTATGATTCTTTGACTTTTCCACCTTTTTTTTGGTTGTGAAGGCATTGCCAATTTACTTAATTCTTTATGGTCATTATTTAGCTCTAATTACAAAGACAAAAGAGCATTAATTATATAATATGAAAATTTTACTTAAAGCAAAGTCTGTCTGAGATCAGTGCTTATAATGTAGTTGGAAGTGAATTATGGTGTCTAATTATATCAATTATTACTCTGCATAAATAATTTTGTTCACCAACCTTAACTACGATCAAAATGATGTAAAAGATGTCTACCAAAAAAAATAAAAATAAAAAAATGATGTAAAAGACAAACCAATAATAATGCACGGGGAAGTGATTCATTTTAATTAAAAAGCATGTGAATTTATTAACTAAAATTAATAAAAAAAAAAGATTGTAAAAAACAAGTATATTTGTGATCCAACAAATAGAGATTAGGTGGATTTTGCTCTGGTGGGATAGGGTGGCACAGTCCTCAATTTTTTTTTCAAAAATTTATATGGGAAATAGACTTATCCTTTAACTGCAATATTTGTTTTTGGCAGCAACCAATTTATATTATATATATTACGAGTAATACATAGTATAATAGTAAAATTATTTTCTCTCTCTGCCACGTTAGCAGATAATATATGAGGAAAAAAACAAAAACAACTTTATTATTATAATTATATATTATAACGTAATCAATTGTTACAAATCAGTTGTTATAAAAAAAATTTGAGTAGAAAAAATTCACCCAATTTATATACATATATATATGTCTAATTGTGTGCGTCAGTGTGTGGTTTTTTATTTTCTAATTTCTATGTAGAATTTTATAGAAATACTCAATTATTCCTCTTCGTTAATAAAATAGTATATTCGTAATATATAACATTTTCATATACAATATTGTTATCAACATTTTATTGAGATTCAAATACTCAACATTTTATATATTTTATTTAGTTCTTAAAATTTAACAAATAATTGTAAAATAAATATGAAAGTATGCATCATTTGGTCACCAAAAAAATTTACTCTAGATCCGTCATAGAATCTGAATCAGATGACAACTCAGTATGAACTAACCTTAGAATGTAAAAGAGCAAGGGGAATGCATATCTGAAAAAAAAAATATTGTCCGGACAACATTTTGAGAGAGAGAAAATTATATAAGAGAGAGAAAAACAATGCACGGGTCCCCCACAAAAATTGTCTCCGCAGAAAAAACAAAAAAATTCCTGTAACATTACAGATGGATTATCCAAACATAAAAAAATAAATTATTTATACCATAATGATTTTCAGTAAAAATTGTGTATAATTTATGAGGAGAATGATCCATTTACAAATTTTTACAAATTATATTATGTACTTTTGGAAGAATATAATATAACCTCTCTCGAGAATATAGTGTGGTTTGTAAACAAAAAAATTTATAAATATAATCTCTCCGATTTCTGATTCTGTTACATGAAACTTTATAATAAACAAATAGTCTTTGTCAACGATTGAGTAGGTAGCGATGGCACTCAGATCTAACAATACCAATAATCGTGTACTATTGTTTAAGTTGCATTACATTATATGATCTTATTACATACAGGTGAGAATTTATTGCAATGTTAAAAAGTTATAAGATCTGAAATAAGAACGTGCTTTTAAAAAGATGGTTGACTCCTTGATGTGAAATAATAATACACGATTATTGTATTGCAATAAGAACGTGCTTTACAATACAATAGTTTCTTGGTGATAAATTCTTTGAAATATATTTATTACAAATTGAGATAAATTCGTTGTATTGTAATAAATTCTTATTAGACGAAGTTACAATAAATTCTTATAAGATCTGAAAAGCATGATCTTATTACATACAGATGAGAATTTATCTGGAATATTAATAATTTTTTTTCTTAGATCTGAAAGAACGTGCTTTTAAAAAGATGGTTGACTCTTTCCTTTCAAAAAAAAAAAAGATGGTTGACGCCACTAGACTATCAATGTATTGAGAACTGCACATTCTTTTACATGTTATATGCCAAAATTTAGTTATAAATGAAATTAAAAACAGACACATTTTTTATACCAATATGTACTAGAGAAAAACCTTATATTAAGATGTCTAACTACAATAAGAATATCAAAATCATAATTTTTTTTGAGGTATCAAAATCATAATTTATAAATTAAGGACTATCAAATAATCATGAAATTATTGGTGATGCTCCCTTTGAGCTAACTATTGCTACGTGATTTGTAAACAGGACACGATGGTGTGGTGTCAGTGTTCCCAGATCCAATTCTTCATTTGCACACAACAAGATCTTGGGATTTCTTAGAATCAGATTTGGGAATGAAGCCTCGTGGCACTCCTACACACCTACACTTGTCAAGTGATATCATTATTGGTGTTATTGACACTGGTAAGTGAAACCAAAAAAGTTAATAGCTCTTTAATTTCTTTTTATCTTAACTCAATAATTTTGAATTGGTGCTTGTTTTGTCTTTTTCAAACGTCTACATCTTAATTGAATTTTTATTTTACTATTAATATTAATAAATACCTTGCACTTTATATTAAAGAAAAAGAAAAAAATTGATTAGGATGAGAACTAAAGTGTACAAGAGAATTTATAAATATTTAATGTTGGTTGATGTGACTATTGCTTTTAGATCAACAAATGTGCAAAAACATGTTTTTATATTGAATATTTTTGCCTATCCTAAAGTTTTGTTAATATTGACTGCACCACTTAGAAAAAAAAAATGGAAATTTTATTGTAAAAGGATTACCTAGTGCAGAGAAATTTATGCCAACGACAAGATTATTACCTTCTTTATGACTACATGTTAATTTCAAGTGCATTCCAACTGGATTTGGCTTCATACAATGACATTACTTGACATGATTCTCTTACACCACTACTTGTCAACTAAATAAATTTTTATATAAATCTTCCTAAACTTCAGTAGCATAACATGCATTAGAAAAATGCTAAAATAAGATACAGTGATATAATTGTTTCAGCCCCTATTTCATTTTCTATTTTCTAGTAGTTAATAATTTTTATTTTTGAAATAAATCATTAAATGGTTTTATGTAATAATATCTATCCCTCTTTCTACCTAAAATCCCACAGATGTGAAAATTTCAATTCAAAACAGAAATCTGCATTATCACAAAACATGAGTAAAAACTTCATCAATATCTATATTCCATCAATTTACCTAATTTTCCCACTTCTTATTATGTACAAAAGATTATTTTCCATTTACTAAATTTTTTATATTATTAATTACTAGAATTAAAATTATAAGGACTTATTTTCTAAAGAGTTAAAAAGTCAATGATAGTCCCAAAAGATCAATAAAAATAATTTAATTTATAAAATTAGACACAACATTTTATTTCAGTTAAGCATCTGATCAAAGTTATAGGAAACCAAAGTAAGATAATATTAGCTCTTTATTTGATTCAATTGGTAATAATAGCAAGAAATAAAGTTAAAAATAAAATAAAATAGTAATTGCAAGTGACAAAAGGAAATATATATACCATACCATAGTAGCATTATAAGACCCCAAACATATGGTGGTCTCATGTGAAACTGATTTGTCATTAGTCACTCACTACTATTTTAGCCATTCACTACTATTGATATCTTTGTGGCTAAGGCCAGTTGGCGGTTGCAGCATCTACATCAATTGTATGTGATAGCAACTCATTGTGACCCCCAACTAGCTGTTATGATTACTACCCACATTGAGAGAAAACAGGCACAAAAGCTACTCAGTTTCCATATCACTTTATGCCAATTGAAACCTTTGCTTGCTTATCTTGGTATGTTGCGTTATATGGGCTTCCTTTAAGAAGTGTGTATTTAATTATTTGTGTTTAAAGCAGAGGATTGAGGCTGGCCTCTTAAATGCAGACCTCTCTAGTGACACTCAATGATGAGTTTGGAAAATTATAGAAAGCAAACGGTGTAGGTGTGAATTAACTTTAGGAGATGTTTCCAAAAAAAAAAAAAAAATTAACTTTAGGAGAAAAGTGTGGGTCTTCTTAAAGGACACAAACTTAGATCTATTTAAGAGAGAGATAGACACAAAGAGGTGTGAGTCTCATTTCTTTGTGTTTTTCTCTTAAAATGACTTAATCTTGTGTTCTTTAAAATGATATATAGTTTTCCTTAACTTTATATCATAAAACTCTTTTGCACCTCAGTTTCTTTTCCTTCCTTTTATTTTCAATCCTAACAAATATTGATATAAAAAAAGTGGGGCAAGAGATAGATGCTAAAGTGAAGTGAGAAATAACAAGCACCATTCCTTATAATAATGCCAATGAACAAATAAAACAATTGAGTTTTCTTTTTCAAACTCTTTACATCTTGCAAACTACCTTCTAGGTGTTGGAAATCGACAATCACACACAAATTTCAAATGAAAAAAGAGAGAGAGAGAATTGACGCAGTGATTTGCTTTGATTTATCCAATTTAGGCTACATCTAGCTTGTCTGTACTGTATTCACTCAGTTTACAAGGAGAATATAAATAGGACTAGAAAAACCCTAACAATAGCTATTCATGGGCCCAAATCTAAACTACTAAAAAAAGAAAAAATTACAATAAATCAGAGGCCCACAACAGTACCTAGCCTCTACGGGCCTTTCTGTTGACCCCGACAATAAGAACCCTCATTAACATGCGAAGTATGAGTCATACCTAACACTAGGCATTATGTGTTGACAAGCATATAGGGGTTAAAACTTTAAAGTGAAATAATACATTTTAGAAACTTTTCAAGCATTGCATGCATTTAATTTCCTGCTGCTAAACAACCTACAGAATTAGGGAAATCCCAAGGCATATGGAACTTTACATTAGTGTCACCACTCCCCTGAAACATACCTTTTTCTCCCACAATTAAGTGATTATTGACAAGTATGTAAGAGTGTGAAAAACAATCTTTTCATAACCTATAATATTGAACATTTTTCAAATCAAAAGGTTATAATCCCACACTTGGGTACAAACATTGAAAGGGATTTCTCAATCTACTTTTCTGGCTTTTGTCATCTCCAGCTAATTATTACTAAAGAATCCAGAGACAGACACAGTCTCTAGGGAGCCTTGGAGGAAATTTCTTATAATGAGTATATTGGATTTGCTCAGTTGTAGGACCCTTGGAGTCCCAATGAGTTAAGGCCAAAGACAAGATAAAGTGAAATTGAAACAACCTAGATAGAAATGCAATGGGGTGAGTTTTTTGTAACATTGCCAACATGTTCTTCCGAGAGTGAAATCTCCCAAATACCCTTCCACCATTATTTCTGTAGCCAAATGTTGTCATCCACCCTGTTGTTCCCATCTCATTGTTGGTATAGAAATGTAAACCAAGTGATATTGGGGGTTAGGAAGCTACTGAAAGGGAAGGCAGAGTTAATAGAAAAAACAAAAAAGACTCTAAAATGGATTAAACTTACTTACACATAAGGTGTGCTCACATGTGCTCGCATCTGGGACATGTGACAATATCAGATTTTAAGTGTATCAAAAACAAGGTGTGGCCAACTGTAATTAGATGATGAAAATTATACATGTGAGGTAATATAAGTGTGTATGTAGCATTTTTCTTCTAAAACCAGAGTAAAATCATAATATAAAAATGTAATCAGCATCCAGAATTCATGTGAGGTCACAATTTTTTAACTAACTTTCCTCACTTTGAAACTCTAAAAAATTTGTTTGAATATTATTTAATTATGTTATGCCTATGTCTTTTATGCATCAAGGGATATGGCCAGAGTCTCCAAGTTTTAGAGATGACGGCATAGGGAAGATTCCTTCAAGATGGAAAGGAGTTTGCATGGAGGGTCATGATTTCAAGAAATCCAACTGCAATAGGTGATTATCCGTTTTCTTACACGTGCTTTAAGAAAAAGCTCATATCTACTTAAAAGATCTTTCAATAATCATATTTTGACACTGACAAAATTGCAAATTCATTATATGCTTCTCTTAAAACAATTGTAGAAAACTGATAGGTGCAAGATACTACAATATCCAAGGTACATCAAGTGGCAACCTGACTGATACTGGAGAAAGCAAAGGTTCCCCAAGAGATTCTGTTGGACATGGGACTCACACTGCATCAATAGCAGCTGGTGCCTATGTCAACAATGCTAGTTATTATGGTTTAGCAGAAGGAACAGCAAGAGGTGGCTCACCTTCTACTAGGATTGCTGCCTATAAAACATGCTCAGAAGAAGGTTGCTCTGGTGCCACCATACTAAAGGCTATTGATGATGCTATTAAGGATGGAGTAGATATAATCTCAATCTCTATTGGACTTAGCTCACTATTCCAATCAGACATTTTGAATGATCCCATAGCCATTGGAGCATTTCATGCAGAACAAAACGGGGTCATGGTGGCGTGTTCAGCCGGGAATGATGGTCCTGATCCTTACACAGTTGAGAACACAGCTCCATGGATATTTACAGTTGGAGCTTCTAATATTGATAGGAATTTCCAATCAACTTTAGTCCTTGGAAATGGGAAAACTTTCCTAGTATGTTTCTTCATCTATAGTGGATTTCTTAGCATGATATCTTCAACTTGTACCAAAAACCTTATTTTTCCCTTTGTTTATGCTGTCAGGGTACAGGCATTAACTTCTCAAACCTTACTCGTTCAAAGATGTATCATATTGTCTTTGGAGAGGAAGTAGCTGCCCAATTTGCCCCTGCATCCGAAGCTAGGTATCTAGTTGTGATTATTCTTATAATATTATTGTCATTCTTTTGTATATAAAAAAAAGTTATAATTTCAAGTGTAACAATTTTGCTGGTCATTTCCTCTTTCCAACAGCTTAAAAAAAAATTCATTAGGCCAACTCAAATGAGATGCATTCAAATTTGACATTGCTGTTACTAGTGGTTTATATTACTACTACATTATACCAGTAGGCAATGGCAACAAAATTGCAACTGCATTATAATGGTTTAATATTGCTGTTACTATTGGTTTATATTACTATTACATTACTACTGCTGTATTTTCTCCGAAATGCAGGAACTGTATTCCTGGATCACTAGATTACAACAAAACTGCAGGCAACATTGTTGTTTGTGTTAATGATGATCCAACTATTTCAAGGAGAATCAAGAAGCTAGTTGTACAAGATGCAAGAGCCATGGGGATGATACTCATTGATGAGGACAACAAAGATGTTTCCTTTGATGCAGGTGTATTTCCCTTCACACAGGTTGGCAATCTTGAAGGGAATCAGATCCTTGAGTACATAAACTCGACCAAGTAAGCATTATCAACCCTCACACATGTTGATTAGTGATTTAAAATAGCGTGCCCCATGTTCTATGTGCAAAAAAAATGGCAGATAGAAGGCAGCCTTACCTTATATTTATAAGAGGATGATTATATGAATCGAACTCGTGACCTCCGAGTCACATGGGGACAACACCAACTGTTGTGCCAAGGTCGTGGCTAAAGGAAAAGTAGTAAACATGATATAAATATTTTTGTTTTTTCAATCTTAATGTTGATTGGAAAAAATTGAAAAATAATATGCTAGCTATATGCTCAGTCTATCATGCCTGCATTACAGGAACCCAACTGCAACAATTCTTCCTACAACCGAAGTTACTAAATATAAGCCTTCGCCAATTGTTGCATCTTTCTCATCCAGAGGTCCTTCAGGCCTTACAGAAAACATTCTCAAGGTATTTTTCTGTCCTGTGTTCCTACATGCTGTTCATTTCATCCATGAACCAAGAATTGCATAAGCTTCTTGAGAACAATGAACTCAGTGTTTCTTTCACCTTATGGCATATCTGTTGTCCAGCCGGATGTCATGGCTCCAGGTATTGGCATTTTAGCTGCCATGATTCCCCAAAGTGATGAACCAGGAAGTGTTCCAATTGGGAAAAAGCCATCCTTGTTTGCCATAAAATCTGGTACATCTATGGCTTGCCCACATGTGACAGGTGCTGCAGCATTCATTAAATCAGTATATGGAAAATGGAGTCCTTCAATGATCAAATCAGCATTAATGACAACAGGTTCTAGATAAAAATCCCTTTTCTATTCTTTTATGGATATCTGAGAAAGTGAGAACTGTTACTTATGTTGTTCTGTTTTGTTTTCTTCCATTCTTCAGCTACAACCTACAATAACATGAGGAAGCCTTTGACCAACAGCTCAAACTACTTTTCCAACCCACATGAAATAGGATTTGGGGAAATTAATCCACTTAGAGCTCTTAACCCTGGTTTAGTTTTTGAAACAGATCTGGAAGACTATCTCAGATTCCTTTGTTTTTCTGGCTCTTCAAAGAAAAACATAAGGTCAATGTTTAAGACCAACTTCAGTTGCCCAAGGAACTCTTCTGATGATCTTATCTCCAACATCAATTACCCATCAATCTCTATAAAAGCACTTAATAGGAAAGGAAAAGGAAAAGTAATCACAAGAACAGTTACCAACGTAGGATCCTTTAATGCCACATATGCTGCCAAGGTGCATGCACCAGAGGGATTGGTTGTCAAGGTCATCCCAAATAAACTCGTGTTTTCTGAGGGTGTTCAAAGAATGTCCTATAAAGTCTCATTTTATGGCAAGGAGGCCCGTGGTGGATACAATTTTGGGTCTCTAAGTTGGTTTGATGGTCGACATTATGTCCATACAGTATTTGCAGTCAAAGTTGAATAGATTTGCATACACATAGATATTTAAATAGGTTACCTTATACATGCATGGTTGTTATCTATTTTTTGCCTAACTTTATGTCGTATATGAGAGTGAGTTCCATATTGAAGTATAAATTTCTCAATGAGACACATTATTAACTGGCAATTCTCTGAACCTACGGTACTTTAGTAAGCCTACAATAATAGAAACTTCCATTAATGTCCAATCAAACCCAAAAAGATATGAATCTCCAAAATGCAAGTGGACCTTGGCCAATTCTATGCTAACTCAATCTTCTTATAATCAACGAAAATCCCTTCTATGGAAACCCTAGAAAGGATACCTTGGTTAGCCAAATTTTGGCATCCAACTCTTCGCAGTCTGAAGTGCCAACCTCAAATGCTTCACACGCTTGATCTTGGTTTTAGAGTAAACCATGATATTGTCCATGAATAAAATTACAAAATAATGCAAGTAAGGTTTAAATACCTTATTCATCAAAGGAAAAAATGTTTATCCTCTTAGATGACACAACTTATATCCTTTCACTCTCACAAAGAAGTGGGACCCACACTTTTATTTTTTTGTCAACTCTCTCTCCTCTTTTATCTATCTCTTTCTCTCTCTTAAAATGACACAACTTTACATCCTTTAAAATGACACACTTTACCCTTCATCAAATCCATGAAAATGGCAGACGAGTTAGTCAAATTGTTCTGGACAGCCACATAGATCCAATTCTTTGGGCCAGTCTCTAAAGCCCATAAAAGAAGTTACTCCCCTCTATTCCTAAAGTGAGACAATTACAATCTCAACGCACTGAATCTCACTCTCCAAGCACATGCATTAAGTGAGGATACTTTCCTTATATCTAGTGGGGCCCACATGGGCAAAATGGTTACTGATCCTTCGCACTCATCATTGGAGAATCTTCTCCACCTATATATATCCCTCTTTTGCCATTGAAGATGCATTTTTTGTGTAACACACCGTAGTACTCCGGTATGTTAACATGACATATGATATTAACCATAGTTACAATCACAGTAGTTATGTTAAATAATTACAAGAGAACTTTTTTTTTCTTTTTATTAAATCAACAATATCCTTTTCCGTAATCAATTAAGTCCAACACTATAATTTTAACGGAACATAGTTCAGAAGCATATATATTAATTTATAACACCTACAAGCATTGCCACTTGTTCAAAGTTCTAAAATTTCAATCCTTTATTTTTAGTTACAGGCTACAGCAGGGGTAGATGTAACGCCCCGTTCTAGAACCGGTTTGTTAACATCGCATTATGATATTAAGCGTAGTTACAATCACATTGGCTCAATTAAAAACCCGGATAAATTTTTCTTTTTAAAACGACGCCGAATTTAAAATATCCAATTGCGTGATCATAACCATATTACCTTGCGGAATCAGATAAATCAAGCTTAACATCATGTTCTTATTCCATTTTTAAAAACCATTAATTTACTTCTTATTTATTTCCCAACTTCTACTATATTGTAGATCTCTTCGTTAGTTACGCGTGGTTTCAAACCGCTCCTCGTTTGGAGCTCTGTAGCTCAAGTTATGACAATTTTACTAACTCAGGTGTATGCTGAAAAACTACGCGGGCAGGGCGCTTAAGCGCGCTCCAGGGCGCTTAAGCGCCCACAGACAGAGGGAATTTACATTCTTTAGCCATCAAGGGCGCTTAAGCTCGCTCCAGGGCGCTTAAGCGCGCTACCTGGGCGCTTAAGCCCCCATTTTGGGCGCTAAAGCCCCAGGCGGCAGAAAGCTTTTGGTCTTCACAGGTGCATCAGGGCGCTTAAGCCCCCTGAGCAGGCTTAAGCCTCCATTTGCAGGCTTAAGCCCCCTCTTCTGGGCAATTTCCTAAACTCATATTTTTCATGTATCTTTCTTGGGGAATCAATCCTACACATTTTACAACCTATTTAACAAGCTTGCGATATCCCTATATCATTGCTTAACTCTCATCCTCTCATCATTGATTTAACGGAAATTGGGCAGCATAACCTTTGTTTTCTCAACGCTTCCCAATCTAACAGCTTAGCTCCTAATAGACAATTCAGCTCAACATTTCCAATATTCATCATGCATTCATAACCTTGAAGTAAATAACATTACACAAGTTTAATTACATAACGGGGAACTTAGCTACAAAAGGCTATGACCATCCCTTGGCTCTCATCAACAAAAGAGATATCCAATGGCACGATCATAGGCTAAGTCCATCAAATATAACGAGATATACATACGTCAATGCTATCAATGATCAATCCTATACATGTAAATCTACAAAATAACATGTATGATCTCAAAACAATTTTCTTCATGCATGATCTACTGCAAATAAGGCCACTTGCCATCAGAGTCTCCTGCAGCTTCCTTACCTGAAAGGGGGTCCCCATAACACGGGGTGAGATATACGAATATATCACAGTAAACCAGAGGTCCTTGGAGATCACTCCACCCTAAGGTTCACTTTGATGTACACATAATCATAATAGCTTAACACATTCTTATCCACAAGCATCACATGGACTTCCAAGAGAGATCCACTATGGGCTGTTTCTCTTAGGCTCTTACCACATGGAGATCCACATAGGGCTGTTTCCAAGGGAAGTCCTTTCCTCAATCTATTCCAAGAGAGATCCTCAAAGGGCTGTTTCTCTTAGGCTCTTACCACATGGAGATCCACCTAGGGCTGTTTCCAAGGGAAGTCCTTTCCTCAATCTAGGAACCTCCAAGAGGGATCCACATATGGCTGTTCCTCTTAGGCTCTAACCACATGGAGATCCACATAGGGCTGTTTCCAAGGGAAGTTCCTACCAATCATCCTCATCATAATACTATCACTCATAACCTCAATCACAATCCTCAACCATTACCTCATTCATTATTGCTACTTCTATAATCATTCCTCAATTACTCTTAAACAATCAAACATCAACCAATAATCATCAATCAATCATAACATGTATCAATGCATGAATCAATGCATGAGCATACAATTACAATCATAATTACATATCACATCTCATAAACCATTTCTCCTTAACGGAGTATGGTGGAACACTCAATGGGATCAACCACAAGGTCCAAAGGTTTACCTTGCTTTTGAGCTTTCCTTAATGGCACACAACCCCAAGGGTTGGTCACTCCACTTGGTCCTCTTGCCTCAATCCTATCAACACAAGGAATACAATCAAACAATGCTAACAATGCAAGGAAATTCATAGTTCCAAGCCTAGATTTATCCAAACATCAAAGCATACTAAAATAACACTATAAACTCATTTCTACCGATTAAATGTTATTCCTAGCATTTTTCACAACATACTCTAAGCCTCATTCTTCCTTGAACATAACCAATCTACTCAACATTTCATAAAAACCCTAAAACACTATTCATTAAACCCTAACCATGAAATTTTCCAAGAAAACAAGGTTCAACGGTTAGAATCTTACCACCAATGGTCACACAACCAAGGATTGATGGCTCCTCAAGCTTCAATGGAGGTTGAAGCTCCCAAAACCCCAAAATTTCACAAAGGGCCGAATTTTTGAGGGGCAATATCCCTCTCCACAATGCTCCCCACTCAAAACTAAGCTTGGATTATGAAAGAGGAGAAGATTTAGAGTGGTTTAGGCTTTTGAACGGATGGATTTGGTTGAGGATTGCTCCACCTAGGGTTCTCCCTCTCCTTTCCTCTTCCTTTTCCCCTCTTCTCCTTCTTCTCTTCTTTTTCTTTTCCTCTCTTCTGCACGACGGGTTGGGGAGGGACAATTGGGTTTCTTTTGTTGCATTGGTCACTTAACTTATGTTAAGTGACTTTAAGCGGGTATTGGTTCGTCTATCTATTCAACTCCATTAATTACCAAACTTTACCCAAAAGTCTGGAATATTATTCTAGGAATATTACTATTTTTATTTTTATATTTTGGGTACTTTTGTCTACACCCATTTATACCCCTTAATTTTCACTGAGTACACTTTTTAACTCCAAGTGACTCAGATTCATTTAATTAAGCCTTATATTTAATTTTACTCACTAAAATATGCTTAATTATTTAATTAAAATTAATCAATTAAATGCTTAAGTTTGGGGTATTATAGTAGAGGGCTTAAATGCTCTCCAGGGGGCTTAAACTCCCAACATTATCCAAATTTCCCCTCGAAGAGGGCGCTTAAGCTCTCTGGGGGCTTAAGCGCCCTGAGGCAGAGAGTTTCTCCGCGCACAGGTCTTTCTGCGGGCTTAAGCTCTCTTATGGGTGCTTAAGCGCCCTCCACCTGTGCAGAACAAAGCTTCCTCTATTTTTCCATGATTCTTTAGGGAGTCTTTCTCTTTCTTCCAATTGCACCTGATAGAAATAGTACATTACAACGTCTCAAAGCTATTTACCCAAGATCCATCCAAGGATCAACTCCATATGCTACAATGCGTAACATACATATATGCAAAACAATTGAAACAACCTTCACATTCTAATACATTTACATGCACATTGTCTTCATATAAATGTCTATACACTAATCTCAAAAGAAGCCATATACATCAATGTCACAAATATATCAAAGAAGGCATGAACATCTCTCATGCTCACCAAATATCAAAATGACATGTGAAGTATATAAACCTATAACCAAAATGCTCATATGACTATCATGCTATATATCAAAATGACATGTGAAGTATATAAACCTATAACCAAAAATGCTCATATGACTATCATGCCATATATCTAAATGACATTCCATATATCATGCAATAACATAACATTATCTTGGCCTCTTGCCCTGTGAGGCTCCTGCATCATCTGTCCCTATACCTGAAAGGGGGGTCCCCATAATGCGGGGTCAGATATATGAAGATACCTTAGTAAGCCAGGGGTCCTTCACGGATTCCTCCGCCCCAAGTCATGTAACATCCCCGTTTCGAGCCGGTTCAATTAACATACATATGATACAAACAGAAACAGCGGAAGACTTAAACTTACGAAAATACGAGCTA